GGAAGTGATATTGATGCAGAGAATGACCAGGAGATCCCTGTAGTTTCTCATGAGAATATCTCTGAGGGGTGTGGGGATGCACCTGCAGAAATTAATGAGCGAATAGATAACGAGCCAATAGATAGATGGGAAGAGTTCAGTCAAAACAGGAGGGCTGTGCAAAGGCTTAGGCGATCTGCCAGGCTTCGGCAGAAAACAATAGCAAAGCCTCAACTAAAGAGAAACCAATTTCTGGCCGCTAGTGACCTAGCAAACAAGGGGATAAAAGTCTTAAGTCAGATGAAGCATTATTTAGAATCATGCCAAGTTCTCTTCCTTGTTTTATGGAAACCTTGCTTTCAGGCATGTAGCCGGGGGGGGGGGGGGGCTTCAGCCCCCCCCCCCCGAAATTCTCATGGTGGTTCGCGAGAAGGCCTTACTGGTGCATTATTTAAACTGTTATGTTTATTCATATCATGATCTGATCACCATGCTCAATATATCTCATATGCATGGGGGTATTGGGGTAACGATACAAAAGGTTTTCTAGGGTAGACCCTCTTTCACTCAGACTCAGCCCCCCCGAATCAAGCCCCCCCAAAAACCCCCCTGAAAAAATTCAGCCCCCCCCCCCCCCCGAAACGAAATCCTGGCTACGGGCCTGCTTGCTTTGAAGTTTCATGCTAAGATATTTCTTGTTCATGGTTTTGGATTCCTGTATTTCATGATTGCTTACCCAAGGCTTGGATCAATGTATTTCTGATTTTTTGGATTGTATTGGAGAGGTGTGGGCTTTGCTTTTATGGATGTTACTGAACTCTACCTTGGACTAATTTGTTCCTGCTTATCTTTTTACCTAATTGGATTTACCTATTCCTTTAAAGTGCTTTTTTACTTTGCTGCTTTTACTTATCTTCAATAAAAGGATTGTTTTCCCTACTCAACGAGTGGGGTTTTAAAGTCAGAGGGTTATTCCTGATCTGGAGTGTAACAGTTCTCATTTTGGACAGTGAAAAGAAAGTGCTGCTGCCAACTATCTTAAGGACTGATCATTTTATGGCATGAGGCATATTTCAAAGGCTATTTAAAAAGAGTATTTTATTCCTCTGTTCCCTGCCTGAATTCAAAGAGACTGATGTATATATTGTTACCATGTTTGAATCTTTGAACTAAAGTAAAGATACTGTTACTTGTTACTTGTTTCTTGAGCCTGAGTGACATTTTATTATACAGCAGGATATACTTTGGTTTAAATATTGTGGTAAAGCTTCTGCTTATTCACATTTACCAACCCTCACAGAATCAACTCTACAAACTTGAAGTTTGGCTCCCTCTTAGAGAATAAAACACATTTCTTTACTTGCAGACAATCTGACTCATACATCAAATAGAATACTAAGAGGATGAGTACACGGACTAGTCATTTCTCCACAGTTCTGTGATAAAGGGCTGCACATCCATGTATTGCAGGCGTATTGAGCCACTCTGTATGTGGAGAAAGAACGATCAGCTCAGAATATCTTCTCATGTGCAGACACCCTTAAGGAAGTGAATAGAAGCTCTTCTCGTGCAGAGATGCATGGCTTAGCTGCAGTCACAAAATCAATGGGGGTGAGGCTACAACCTTGAATGACACCACAGCTTTCTCATGCAATGTGCAGCATGGATAAGCTCTATGGCAGTCAAATGCTGCATGGAGTTGATCCAGGGTAATGTGGGGCAAGGCTGGATCAGCACCGGAGAGCAGCTCACTGTGGATTCAAACTCAAACTGTGTTTAAATGGTGATTAAGATACATGAATAAGGAACCAATTACTGTTTCACTCTGTGTAATAACTCCTACATATATATTATACCATTTCAAGGACCACATGTGTCTATTCTATTTCAACACTGTGACCTTTTTAAAGACACGTGTGTACAAAATCCTTTGCTGTGAGACAGATAATTGACATGCAGCCATTTTTTTGGTAGCCAGTAAAACAGGTGCAGTCACAAGAGAGATGTTTGGAACAATGCGAAAGGGAAGAATAAAGGCTTAGTAAAACAACAGGTATTTTTCTCTCTTTGCCAAATATATCCTTTGAACAGTTGTTATTTGCTTAAAACGACTGCCTCTCCTTAAGTAATTGTTATCCTAATGATGCGCTTTCCATAAATGCATTGCTGCGTGTGTGTGTGTGTGTTTTTTTTTTAAAGGTGCTCCTCCTTCAATTTATCACTTGATATATTCCTTATAGCATTTTAGTTGTTTTGGACTTCATTTCCCAGAATTCCTGATCTTTAGCCAAAGCAGCTGAGGCTTCTGGGAGCTGAAATTCAAAATACCCAGAAAACTAGAGTTTGGGGATTACTGCTGTATCACAAGTGAAAAATGTAAACACATTGTAGCGCCTCCAATGGTGCAATGGATTAAACCCTTGTGCTGGCAGAACTGCTGACTAAAAGGTTGGTGGCTCAAATATGGGCAGTGGGGTGAGCTCTCATCTGTCAGCTCCAGCTTCACATGAGGGGATATGAGAGAGGCCTCCCACAGCATGGTAAAACATCCGGGCCTCCCCTGGGCGACATCATTGCAGATGGCCAATTCCCTCACACCAGAAGCGACTTGCAGTTTGTCAAGTCGCTCTTGACATGAAAAAAATGTAAACACATTTTGTTTCTTGTGATGGAATGGTAAATTTCCTCACCCCACACAAGGTACGTAGTACCCAAGGGGGCTAGCCATGTTATTCTCTGAAAAGCTGCTTTCTGAAATACAAATCAGTCAGAATAAATGAAAAAATATGACCATCGGTTCTCTTTTCCTGTAACCAAAATGAGGTGTCTGAAATGTTCACCTCACCCGACCTGGCCTTAAAATTTCAGAGCTTATGAAACCACCATGCCACCATAAACACATTTGATCCTGTCTAATTTGGGGAGCTATGAAGTTTTAGCCTGGTTAGTATTTTCACGGGAAACCCAACAGGAAACATCAGGGATCTCCATGTAGACTTGGAAAGAATCCTTTCTTAAAACCTAGACAGCTGCTATCAGATCCAGCAGATAGTATAGGGTTAGAAGCTACCTTGGCTCCTTCTATACTACCAGATAACCCAGGTTATCAAAGCACATAATTCACATTATCTGCTTTGAACTGGATTATATGAGTCTACACTGCCAGAACATCCAGTTCAAAGCAGATAATCTGGATTTTATATGGCAGTGTAGAAGGGGCCTTTGAGTCCCTATATCAGGATAAAGGTGAGATAAAATAAAAGTAAACAATATGATAATGGTGACGATGATGATGATGATGATGATGATGCAAAGGTCCACAAGTCTGACTCAATAGGGGGCAGATTCTTGTGTTCTCTGATAGATACAAAGTGATAAAGAGTTCCTATGTCTTGTTATTGTTATACAGAAAAAAAGAATGTCAGTACAACAGATGTAGCGTTTCTGGCAAACTGACCCAGTCAATAATATCTTTCAGAAAAACAGTATCCTGTTCCTTTATATCTGGTCAGTCTTTGGTTGAATATTTAGGCAGTATCTGTTGCGCTTAAGCATAATTTAGTCTGGTCCAATGCAAGAGACACAATAACTTTGCACAAAACCAGGAGGAAAAAACAGAAAAAAATTTACTCTTGTCAGCAGAGTCAGAACATAAACTTGCAGTGTTGCATACAAAATAAATAGTGCAACAAACTTACATAGTCCTTGTAAGAAATACAAAATGCAAAGAATTTAGCTTCTTCATCCCTCTTCACATGACAGCGCAAAATGGTTGAGCAAAACACTGTGAGCAAAAGACTTCTCAGAGCAAATGCTTTTGAGCATAGAGCTGAACTGTATTCTAAGCCACATATAGTTATAACCCACCGGGTGTGGCTCAAACCTACTTGCTGATCTAGATTAGCGGCTGCACATGATGATTAACAGTATAAGGTTTTCTTTAACATACATATATACATGGTGCTGATCCTTTTGCAAGTCACTGTAACGGTATCAACATATGATATCTTAGGCCCTTTCCACACAGCCCTATAACCCATAATATCAAGGCAGAGAATCCCACAATATCTGCTTTGAGCTGAGTTATCTGAGTCCACATTGCCAAATAATGTGCAGATAATCAAAGCAGATAATGTGGGATTTTATTCAACTGTGTGGAAGGAGCCTTAATATGCCTTCTTAATCAATATACATGTGTGACAAATGATGACACATAGGTTTGTGGTTTATCTATATATTGCTGGCAGGTTGCAGTGAAGAGCAGAGAGAATGGCATCTATATCCATTTTGTCACAGTTGGCAAATCATACCAAGTAGCAAAATTATTATTTTTAAAAAACCCCAGGGATTCAAGGATTGTGGACAAATTTGCCCAGTTCAGTTGTTTCTGTTTCAAAGTGAAAAAAACAACAACACAAATATAGTCTCTTGTTTATAAGCAGGGGCCCTTCCACACAGCCATATAACCCAGAATATCAAAGCAAAAAATCCCACAATATCTGCTTTGAACTGGGTTATCTGAGTCCATAGTGCCATCTATCCCAGTTCAAAGCAGATGTGGGATTTTATTCAGCTGTGTGGAAGGCACCAGAGAAGATAAATTCAGTGAGGATGTTGAAAATGGCACAAAAGCATAGTCTCTGTCTTGAGAATATTATTTCGTGGAAAGCTGCCTTTTACACATACGTATACACACTTGTTAAAACCATATTCAGAAGTTATAGAATGTAGATATGTGAGATGAAGAAATAAATAATCTGTCTGACGTAATGACTGAACAGAAGTTAGGTTTATATGCCTTAAAAATAGCCTGCAGAATAATTTAGGTAGTGCCCATAATAATGCTCTATCTGTGCAGCCAAATTTATCAATTCCTGGTGCTTATTTACTTTTCCAGCAAGCAAGTGTACATAATATTATATCTTTTTCAGGCATAAGCAACAACCAGGAAACAAAACACTAGAATTGATGAAAATTTCTCAAAATGAAGGAAAATAGTATTCATTACTCTGGTTACTTACCTGACCAGACAGAGATCAAAAGAGAGGACACCTGCCAGCCGTAGAATTGCAAAGTGTGCTGCTTCATATCTGATTACTGTTATGTCTCCTCTTCCCTTTTGCTCCAAACACATGGGCAAACAACAGAGAGGTAGATGCCTCTGTGTTTGTGTTGTAACAGAAAAGGAACTCACATGCTGCCCAGTAAATGTCACATTTACTAAGATTATCACAGCATCAAAGTTCACTGTCTGTCGCCTAGGGGTTGCCACTTTGAGACTTTCTACCATGTGTTCCTGCCTGCAGGTGGGTGGACAGAATAGGACAGTATTTTAATAATGGTTTCAGATAGACCCAGAATTTGAAGAAAAATTACTAGATATTTAGATGATCATCTGTTTTCCTCCCCCAAATCAGTCATGAAAATGGCCAACACAACCATAATTGTCGAAGACTTTCATGGCTGGAATCACTGGGTTGTTGTGTGTTTTTGGGCCATATGGCCATGTTCCAGAAGCATTCTTTTTTTCTTTTTTTCTTTTTGCCTGCACCTATGGCAGGCATCCTCAGAGGCTGTGAGGTTGTTTGAGTTCCCATTTATGTACTGAAAACTATGACCCAACCTGCCACTTAAATGACATCATGCAAATTGTGCATGACATCAATATTATCTGAGCATAATATCTGTTGTGATTGAATTGTGATTTTCTGGAATTTTCAAAGCCCTTTTAATTTAGAAGATGTGAAGTGAGAAGCAAATGTTTTAAAGAATTATATCTTATCTTTTTGAATGACTTTTTTTTCATTCCCAGCAAACAGATGGTTGCTTAATTGATTCTCTCTGATCAAGAGAACTCTGATTTTGTCCCACTGGAATTTTGAAACCAGTCCTGATAAATGTGTATATTGACAGGGTACAATAATAAAGAAAGGAATAGTTAGAAATAAATATCTCACTATCCTGGAATGTGTTATCAATGCCAGGATTCTTAACAGTCCTTTTTGTTCACCACGAAGGAATTGCAATTGTCCTTTACACATCAGGGAGGACTTTGGGGAAGAAGCTAACTGCCCTATGACCTTAGGTAAAGGTAAAGGTTTCTCCTTGACATTAAGTCTAGTCGTGTCTGACTCTGGGAGGTGGTGATCATCTCCATTTCTAAGCCAAAGTCAGCATTGTCTGTAGATGCCTCCAAGGTCATGTGGGGTGGCATGACTGCATACAGCACCGTTACCTTCCCACCAGAGCGGTATCTATTGATCTACTCACATTTGCATGTTTTCGAACTGCTAGGTTGGCAGAAGCTGGGCCTAACAGTAGTAGCTCATGCCGCTCCCGGATTCGAACCACCGACCTTTCAGTCAGCAAGTTCAGCTGCTCAGCATTTTAACCTGCTGCTCAACTGGGGGTTCCTGCCCTATGACCTTATCTCGCCCATCTTCATACGCTGACATAATGGAGTCCAATGGAGGTCGGCCCTCAACATACAGCTACTTCTGGTGGCTTTGTGTTGAAATCCATGTTGCCAGCATGTGAAGATGGTCAGAGGACTTCGTTTTCAGGAGTTAGGTGTTCCCCAACCTGTGATAGAAGACAGCAGCAGGAAGCGGAGGAAAGCCAGAAGAAGATGGGGAAGACAGATCTTGCCAGAGTAGGTTGTGTTCTCAGTCTTAAGGACACTTTCCTCTTCTCCCCAACCCCTTCTCTCCTGCCCATGGAATAAGGCCCCCACTTGGGAGAAGGAGCAGTAAAAATTCCCAAACACAGCTTGGGAGTTTCCATTTTGGAAAAAAATAAGATAAATTCCTATTGACATTTACAGCCCCATAAAACTCTAGCAAGATGAGGCAGTCACAGGTAAATTCATGTTGCTCCACATTGTGCATGTGTAGTCAATCATGGAGTACAAATAGTAATAGTGAAGAAAACGAAGGGAGAAAATGACAAGCCATACAACTTAAAGATGGTACAGGGACCAGAAGGTCAAATAATCAGACAGCACACAAAAGTATATGCCCGTTTGATGCAAGAAGAACTCCCTGCAGCTTCTAGGAAACGTATAGCTGCTCTGCCTTGGTACATCAGGGTGTTTCCTGTCGAAGCCTTTGCAAAAGTTGCTGTGGAGCCAGCATGACATAGTGGTTTTAATACTCCGCTCTGAGAGATCAACGATTGAATCCCAACGTGGTCATTAAAACCAATTGTGTAATTCTGAGAAACTCAGTCTCCTTGCTCTAGAGAAGCAGGATGTAATAGTAATAGCAAACCACCTCTAGACAAATCTTGACCAGAAAACTCTGTGAGAGGTTCACCCTCAGGCTGTCAAAAATCAGAAAAGAGTAGAAGGCAAAAAACAACAAGACTCTAATCAAGAACTGTTGTGTCTTTTTGTGCCTTTTCTTGATGTTATTCTGCGAATTTTGGTGGTGTTTCCTTGTTGACTGGGACAGGGGTTCCTCGTGCGGAATTTACACAAAGTTTTAATCTGCAAAGGCAATGATTTCCTAATACCCTCCATTTAGATATATTTTGAAGGCAAGGGCAAACTATTAATTCAGTAATTCAGTAAAGGTAGGCCCTGGTCCTATTGTATTTGTCTATCCCTGCCCTATGTGAAGACACCTTCTGTCGGGATAGAATGGTGTGCAGACCATCTAAGATTGCTATAAAACAGGTACAGTATTTGGAAATGAGTGTGTGTTTTCCACCAACAGTGACCACTAGATGGAGGTGCTGGTCTCCCCATCCTATTGTCATAACTGTGCAGAACTCAGTTCTGGGTTTCTCTTGTTTTCAAGTTTGCCATATCAAATCCTGGTTATCTTTGAACTTGATTACAGTATATGGCAGTGTAGACTCATATAATCCAGATCAGATCCAATCAAATAATCTGGATTATATGGCAGATCCATCATGGGATGCCCAACATCTGAGCAACTCTTTGGATCCACGGCGTATTCTGAAAATGGAACCAGATAATGTACAGTTCTCTCTATATACCTATAGATTCTACCGTCATTGCTTGACTCCTTGACCCAGTTGCACCACTAAGCTATTTGTGTAGCCAATCCCCAGATTTTATTCATATCTCAGAACATTTGTAGCTCTATTCTCATGTTCTTTACAAGTTCCAACCTGATTAGGATTGTGCATAGAAAGCCCAATTTGGTTCAAATCCCAGATTGACCCAGACTGAATAAATCCAAATTCAGTCTGATCTGGACTTGGAGACTGAATTGAGATGCAGTGATCCAGACTTCAAGTGTAGCCTCACTGAGCTTAACTGAGTAACCAAAATGCAACTATAACCATTTTGCTTTTTTTGTATTTAATTGTATCAAATTCTTGGTACAGTATATTATTAAACAACGAAGTAAAAATCATCCAGGACACAATACTACCAATTTCCGTGTATGACTGTGAAAGTTGTCAAAAAAGAGAATCAACTCACTTCACATATGATGCTTGCATGAGTTCTACTGATCCCACGGAGTGAAAAAACTGAAACGAACGAGTCATTGGGTGCATCTACATGGAAGAATTAATGCAGTTTGATACCACTTTATCTTTCATTGCTCGATATTATGGTATCCTGGGAGCTGTAGTTTTACAAAGTCTTTACATCTTCCATGATTCCATAGCAGTGAGGCAGTTCAGTTAAAGTTTTATCAAAGAGCAGTAACTCTACAATCGATGCACTCTTATTTTGTAATTCATGATTCAGACAACTCCGTTGCATAGCCCTAGAATGGGGTCGCCCTAGAATGGGGTCGTGATGGGTATTCTGTAATGCTGCTGGGCAGTGGTGAACTGTGGAAATTTTAAAAATGGAAAACAAAAAATAAAATTATTGCATCCTGCACAGGGATTTGTTTGCGTAAACATGTAACTATATTTCATTTGTCAGGTTGGTTTATTATGAGGTCTTTTTTGATGTTGCCAGCATCCTCAATGAAGTACAAGATGAATTTTGGATCTGCAGAATGATTTCTCAGCACGCAACTTACTTGATGAAAAACTGCTGACTTGGTTTTGTTGTGCTGTGTAATGTACTGGTCAAATCCAAATGTCACCATTCTTGCATTTTGAGTTTTACTCTCCTTTATTTCTACATATTTTTGTGAGAGCAAATTTTCAGTGCTTCTTCAATTGAAAACCAAAACAAGAAACAGATTAAATGTTAAAAGTGACATGAGGTTGGCATTAATAGCAACTCAACTGCAAAATTTTAAGCTTGTAAATGAGCTACAATTTCAGTCATCACATCAAATAATAATAATAATAATAATAAACCTTATTTATACCCTGCCACTATCTCTACCAACGGGGACTCGGGGCGGCTTACATGAAGCCAAGCCCAAACAGCAAATTACAATAAAGTACAACACAATAAAATAAAAACCAAAACACAAGCAACAGCACAGTCAAATACAAAAATATATGAATACAATAAACAATGAACACAAAACAAAAAATGCAACGAACAATCATAATAACAGTGAGCGGGCCGCATGTACAATAAAATGATTAAAAACTTAGGATGAGATAAACATGTCATCAGTTAACATTATTTTTAATTCTGTTATACTGTACTAAAATCTAATTTTGATGTGTTCTCATTTACTCTATGAAAAGGTTTATTTTCGATAAATTGGGGTCATGGGGTCACTTTGCCTCTATAAAATGGGGTCCCGACTCAAAAAAGGTTGGGAACCACTGCCCTAAAGGAAACAGAGTGAGGGCCTTTCCAGACAGCATCATGATGCGCGACAAATAAGTGGGTTTAAAAATTGCGGGACCTTAAGGAGTGTCCAGACAGAATTGTCAGTCCCGATAAATGTTCCCCTGGCATCCTGACAGGTTCAGTTGTAGATAATTTTAGAAATCCACAAGATGGACATGGGACATCTATTGGAGGTTTATTGTTTTTAAAAAATGATGCTCTGAGATGCACTGGACCTCATAAGTGCTGATGTGGATATATGAATGTGTGCACAAGCAGATTTCATGTCATTGTCTCTCCTCATCCTCCTGCTGCCTTTACTTTTTCACTCTTCAACTCTGCTTCCCTTTGAGGTCACTGGTGCCCACGGTGTAAACCACACACTGTGTAAACCACCAGCATGTGCCCACCACATGCTGGTACCCACTGTGTAAATTCAAACTCTGTTAAATTTCATAAATATGAGAATAAGGGAAAGGTTGCAGAATTCTTATGATAATTGCTTTCCAATTGTGCTTCCATTTAGCCACCTGTGTATCTGTGGCTCCATCTGTTTACAGTCCTCATCAACTGTTTGGGGATTTTAAAATACGCACATGTGCTGGTGCAGTCCACACCAGCGTATAACAACAAAGTCACATGTTTTTCTTAACTGCAGGAATATACAGTGATGCAAATATGCACATTCTTCAGCCAAAGTAAGATTTTAAGCAAACTTTTTAAAAATGTTTTTAGCTGTTAGTGTGATCTAGTGTGCATTTTTGGCAAATGTCATCTAGCCCCCCGCCCCCATCCCAGTTTTGTCTGCATTTTAGGACCTGTCCAGAAGGGCCCAGAAAGATGCATGGCTGCTGCTAGCAACATTTGGAAACATTAAGGTTTTTGGATAATACTACAACTCAGTTGCTGTGCACAGCTAGTTGCCCTATTCTTGGAAAGGTGAACAAAATTGTTGTCATGTACCCTCTGAGAAGAACAGATGGCCCTTCTCACCTAGCGGTAGCTATTTCCATGTTACATCCTTGGAAAAGGAAGCAGGGCTGCTGAGAAGGGATAACAGGCCAGATGCTTGGTTGCCCAGCTCCTCTAATTTTGTCAAAGCTTTATACCCACTTTGTGTTGAAATATCAAATCATTTTTATGTTGTATTGTTTGTTTTCTCACCACCTGACCCTGACCTGGTGGATTCTGGGGCTTGTATTTATTATTATTATTATTATTATTATTATTATTATTATTATTATTATTATTATTATTGACACAAAAACTACAGCATGTCACAGCAAACGAGATCTATATGCTGGATTTCGTATCACAAAATCACAAGTCGAATACTTCCCAAGCGTCTAGGACTATGTGATTTATTATTATTATTATTATTATTATTATACTACTAAAATAATTAATTTGGGGTGATGTGGATGGCAAACTACTCCTGATCTGAAATTGAAATCCTAGCAACTCTCCCCCCCCCCCACCTTTGAACGTATGTATATAAATGCCCCTGGTGGCACAGCGGGTTAAACCACTGAGCTGCTGAACTTGCTGACCGAATCTGGGGAGTGGGGTGAGCTCCTGATGTTAGCTCCAGCTTCTAACAACCTAGCAGTTTGAAAGCATGCATATGTGATTAGATCAATAGATACCACTTCTGCAGGAAGGTAATGACCTCACTACCTCTGAGGATGCTTGCCATAGATGCAGGTGAAACGTCAGGAGAGAATGCCTCTAGAACATGGCCATATAGCCCAAAAAAACCTACAACAACCCAAGGTAATGACACTTCATGCAGTCATGCTGGCCACATGACCTTGGAGGTAGCTATGGGCAACGCCAGCTCTTCAGCTTAGAAATGGAGATGAGCACCACCACCCCAGAGTCGGACATGACTAGACTTAACGTCAAGGGGAAACCTTTACCTTTGCTATATAAATGTAGTCTTTTCTGCCAAAGAGCGCTGGTGCACAACTCCCAGGATGCCATAGCATCTACACTGTAGAATTAATGCAGTTTGGCACTACTGTAACTGCTATGGCTCAATGCAGTTAAGTCCTGGGATCTGCAGCTTGATGAGGCACCGGCACTCTCTGGCAGAGAAGGACCTTGTAAAACTTCAACTCCCGGGATTCCATAGAATTGAGCCATGGCGTCAAAACATATTAATTCTATGGTGTAGATGAGCCCAGAATTGACAGAGTAGCATGTATTATTTGATATCCAGCTTCTTTGTTGGTCCTAGCAAACATACCAGTTAAACTTGCCCAATATGCCATAGGCTATAACTAAACCTGTGATGTGATAAGGAGAGTGGAATAGTGGAAACACTGAAGTGCTTTCCAAAGCCCACAGTATGTTATCCGAGTATCTTTGAGACTTCTCCATGACTAAAACTTTCCCATAACTTTTGTTTTTGAAGTACAGGAAACCCAAAGTTCAATAACTCTTTCTTGTAATAGCATAATCACTGAGACTTTATATCATGCAGACGGATGTTTGCCATGAATTCAATTCGTCTTGTATTGTACCTTCATGCAATATGTCATCCAAAGAGAACATGTGGTCTAATTAACTAATTAAGAATACAGTTCTTAATTAATACTAGCTTTTTATATATTATTTTGTATATATACAAATGATTAATTTGCGTGTCAACACGCCTCAAATATGTGTCCTAGAAATCATGTACACACAAAAGCCTTTGATTTCCACAGAATCAATCACATGATTTAATATGTTAATTAATAATTTAAAATTAATTAACTATAATGACATTATAGAATGCCAGACAATTCCAGACAAGAAACTATCAGGGCCAGCTAATCACCTCCCAACAAAGGATTCCCCCAGGTAGTAAGAAACCAGACCTTGAAACTGCTAGGCCATTAAATGCTAATCAAAGTGGCCAATTGCAGCATTCAAGCAGACAGGAGTTCTTTCTCCCACCCTGGACATTCCACAGATATATAAACCCCATTTTCCTAGTTTCCAACAGACCTCACAACCTCTGAGGTGAGGATGCCTGCCATAGTTGTGGGCGAAATGTCAGGAGAGAATGCTTCTGGAACATGGCCATACAGCCCGGAAAACCCATGACCCTCCTATAATTACATAACTAATCATACACCACATTAACTACTATGGCTCAGTGCTATGGAATAGTGGGATTTGTAGTTTGTTAAGAACCAACACTCTTCGATAGAAAAAGCTAAAGACCTTGGCAAGGGGGCATCTACACTGTAGAATTACTTAATGCAGTTTGGGCCACTGGGCTTAAGGCTATGCAATGGTGGGAGATATAATTTTCCAAGGTTTTTCTCCCTTCTCTGCCAAAGAGTGCTGGTGCCTCACCAAATTACAATTACTTAATGCAGTTTGGACCACTGGGCTCAAGGCTATGCAATGGTGGGAGACGTAGTTTTCCAAGATCTTTCTCCCTTCTCTGCCAAAGAGTGCAAACTACAATTACTTAATGCAGTTTGGGCCACTGGGCTCAAGGCTATGCAATGGCGGGAGAGGTAGTTTTCCAAGGTCTATCTCCCTTCTTTGCCAAAGAGTGCAAACTACAATTACTTAATGCAGTTTGGGCCACTGGGCTCAAGGCTATGCAATGGTGGGAGATGTAGTTTTCCAAGATCTTTCTCCCTTCTCTGCCAAAGAGTGGAAACTACAATTACTTAATGCAGTTTGGGCCACTGGGCTCAAGGCTATGCAATGGCGGGAGATGTAGTTTTCCAAGGTCGTCCTCCCTTCTCTGCCAGAGTGCTGGAGCCCCACCAAACTATAAACCCCCATGACTGCATAGCATTGAAACTATATCAGTTTAAAGCGGTGTCAAACTGCATTAATTCTACAGCGTGGATGCATCCTTACTCCTAGGGAAATCTGCAACCTGATTCAAGAGAGGAGGGGAAGTCCCAGGAAGCCTTAGATCTTATCGCCGCCTCCTTTCATTGGCCATGAAAGGAGCCCGTGCTTCTTTAAAGAGGCCGCTGTTTTCGGTCAAAGAGATCAACAGGTTTCCCCCTCCCCCTGTCCCAATGCCGTTGCTGGCCCTTTAAATCGCACACAAGGGCAGCCAGGCAGCCCTCCGGTGTGCTGGGTTTGGAGACCAGCCTTGGCCTCGTTGCACCTCCCTCTCTCCCTCTATGGTAAGCGGCGTGGGCTTTCTCCCTTTCACCCCCCCCCCCCTTTCCTTTGGGGTATTTTTCCCCTTCTCTCTTTGGAGGCATTTATTATTTTGCTTTTCCAAGGTGTGACTTACAGGGGAAGTCCCTGGCTTGGGATCTTCAGTGGATTTGAAATTGCGAGCTTAGGTTGGGCTTGATGGACAAGTCGCCAGTTTCCACGCTTTTTTGGGGGGAATGCATCTCCACTGTAGAGTTAATGCAGTTCGATACCACTTTAGCTGCCAGGGCTCAGTGGTATGGAATCATGGGAACTGTAGTTTTGCAATGTCTGTAGCCTTCCCTGCCAAAGAGTGGTATCAAACTTCAGCTCCCATGATTCCATAGCATTTAAAGTGGTATCAAACTGGATTTAATTCTGCAGTGTAGATGCATCCCTTATCCTCCAGGGGTGATAGACTTCCAAAGTGTTCTTACTGTTTAGGGGGGGAAAAACCCCTTTTATCTCAATTCCTTATTAAAATAGTTCACTGTTTTTATAATAACATAAAAGGGGGTTGTGTAAAGTAATATTAATATTTTAGTATTGATATTTCATAGGCCACACAGAGTGCCAACGTGGTTCAAGAAGCTGGCAGATGGGGCAGAAGCACAATAAGGCTTGGAGACATTGGCATCTTTCAATGTTAAATCCTTATTCGTCAACCGATTTCAAAGGCAAATTGCCCTACCTGTAGACTTTGGGGAACCCCTGGTGGTGCAGTGGGTTAAACCGCTGAGCTGCTGAACTTTATGACCGAAAGGTCGCAGATTAAGATCCGAGGAGCGGGGTGTGCTACCGCTGTTAGTCCCAGCTTCTGCCAACCTAGCAGTTCGAAAACATACAAATGTGAATAGATCAATAGGTACCTCTCCGGCGGGAAGGTGCTTCATGCAGTCATGCCGGCCACATGACCTTGGAGGTGTCTACAGACAACGCCAGCTCTTTGGCTTAGAAATGGAGATGAGCATCAATCCCGCAGAGTCGGACACGACTAGACTAAGTGTCAGGGAAAAACTTTCCCTTTAGACTTTGATGAGACCTTTCCCTTACTTACATAAGGGATCCCTCGTTGTCTGAGCAGGATTGTCTTCCAAGTGTTTTCTCAGTGGGTCCGTAGGTGACTATGGAGCCCTATTCTTGATCTGCATCTTCTCCCGCAGTGAGGGCATTGGTTTCCAGGTGGAAGGCGGTCCCGGTCAGGGTTGGCTTGACATGCCTTTCTCTTGGCACGTTTCTCTCTTTCGCCTTCCATTCGTGCCTCTTCAAATTCTACAGCACTGCTGGTCACAGCTGACCTCCAGCTGAAGCCCTCAAGGGCCATGGCTTCCCAGTTCTCTTACACACATACACCAATTTCATTTTTTGAAAGGATAGATACGGAAGGGGAATTCCAGGAAGCCTGGAATGGAGAATTGAGGGCCTAGAAAACACTCTCAACTTCTCCACTAAGTCAATCCTTTGTTTACAGCAATGGTTCCCAACCTTTTTTTGATTGGGAACCATCTTGACCAGGGACTACTCCAACATTAGTACGAAAAGGGCTACGAATCAATTTTTGGTCAACTTTAGATTTGGTTTGGTTATTTTGGGTGCTGATTCAGATAACTGCATTTGATAGACCATATCAGCTCTAGTTTCTGATACAAAACATATGCCATCCAGTTGTCAACATCTGCTCGCCCACAGAAAACCATTTTTAATAATCTAGAGCTGATGTGGTAGTAGAAATCTTTCATGGGTAGTCAGCCTCTCCCCTCCCAATATCCCTGTTGCCTCGGCATTATAAGAGGGTTTCGTGAGACCAGTCACTCCCGTTGTCGCATGGTTTCAAGGCAATGGTGTAGTAATGGTGAAGCTACAGACCATATTTTTGTTCTTTCAGACCACTGGTGGTCCATGGACCACGGGTTGGGAACCACTGTTTTAGGGTATTTTGATGCTATACAGTTGTCCTTCCAAATTGGTGTTTTTTTACTTCTGTAGATTTGATTTTGTTGGAATTCTGCCACGCACTGCCCAAGTCTCCAGTCCTCAATGAGGGACAGTTCGTTACCTTAGGAATAGGCTGAGGGAATCCTACCCCCCACCCCGACTCTTGAATGACAAATGGAATGTATCTATTTGCTCCCTCCTCTCTCTTTCTACTCTCATTCAGATTGGTTATGTAGAATGGATACGTTTCTAATACATGCCTTTATTTTTGACTTCTGTCTGTACATTTTACAAATCATAGCTATAGCTCAGCTGGGCTATAGCACAGCTGGTAAATCACCATCAGCAGCAATAAAAAACCCAGGTCGGGGTGAGCACCTGACTGTCAGCCCAGCTCACTGTTTACCTAAGCAGTTCAAAAACAGCTTAGAACTGTAAGTAGAGAAATTACTCCCCTAAATAGCAGGGGAGGTATTTTATGACATCATAAAAGAAAAAGACCAGAAAATGCTGGTGACCAAAAGAAAGGAGGAAGTCCTGATGGCTCTTCGTCATAGAGGATGGAGCAACAGCACCCCTCTGGGGCTGGACTTGAGCACAACCTCCAAAGGTGCCGAAAGCTTGATGTCGACACAACATACCTCCTTTTTGTCTGTTCTGTCCTTGTCTGTCCGAACAACATTGAATGTTTGCTGTATATGTGTACTGTGATCCACCCTGAGTCCCCTTGGGGAGACAGGGCGGAATATAAATAAAGTGTTATTTATATATTTGTTTATGTAAAGTGTATTGAGATCTCTCTCTGCTTGTGTGTGTCAGGAGAGATGTAGTGCTTGGTGGTCTTTCGCCTCTTTGAACCCTAGAAGAGATGGAGTATAGAATAGCTTAGACCCAGTTCTTTACTATGAAGAAATGTTATTATTTTAATGTAAATTAACCTTTTGTACTGTTTAAGATTGAACTCTGCATTTTTGCCTCCTAAATTCTAAATTCTTTACAGCCGCGGCACTTCATGTTCTGCTTGCTGTGAGCTGAATGCTCAACCATAGGGTATCCTGTTTTGTATTTTGGGATGCTCTGCTGTTTTTGGGTAGTTCTCCCTCACAGATTTTTCATGGATTTGATTAAATTTTTCATTCTAGGTTCTATCTACAGTGTGACTCTAGGATCAATTTTCTCAATTAATATTGGAGGACCTAGAGATTTCTAAGGAGAACATTTCTATAGGAATCTCTAGATTCTCCAGTGCCATTCTATGGTCCAACGATAGTTAACAATAGGGCCACGCTGGAAGAGCTAAAAATACTTAGAGAAGTGTTTTTTCAGGTATAAGAATGACAATTTATTTAGTCAGTTTTATGAGGGTCCTGCACTCCTAGACACAATGCATATGGAAGGCTGGCTGTAGATCAGGCATGGGCAAACTTCGGCCCTCCAGATGCTTTGTACTTCCACAATTCCTAACAGCCGGTTACAGGCTGTTATGAATTGTGGGAGTTGAAGTCCAAAACATCTGGAGAGCTGAAGTTTGCCCATGCCTGCTGTAGATTCTGTAAGTTAGAATAAACAAAATGACTGATACTTCACCACTTTGATTCCATTGGATACAGAACTGACATTTATGTTTGGAGCTGTCAGTACTGGGGCCCCATAAACTGGATGCTTTCCTTCTGACATCCTGCAAGAAGAAATTCCCATTTATTTTGCTAGAGAACCATTCCGTAAACCTTATTTTTTGGGCTTTGTTCTTAAAGTTCTGTAGTATGTGTTAGCCTACATTCAAACATAAGCAGAATGCAATATATGCCTGATTCTTGTTCAGTAATATGGATTAAAGATTTGGCTTAACAATGAACATGTCATAAATGGGTTTGTGGAAATGTTGTCTTCCCAAGAATGTAAAATTACTGTAGTCCTGGGCACTTTTCATATTATGTAACTCTAGTATTCGGAGTAGATCAATAGATACCACTCTGGTGGGAAGGTAACGGTGCTCCATGCAGTCATGCTGGCCACATGACCTTGGAGGTGTCTACGGACAACGCCGGCTCTTAGGCTTAAAATGGAGATGAGTACCACACCCAGACTACTTTTTAGTGTGAATATTTTAATATAATTTGAATTAAACATTTACAATTTTTTCACTCACACACAAAGAAGGAAAACAGAGAAGTCGGATGCAAAAGCAAATAAAAAATATTTAAAAAGGAGATTGGGAATAATGGAACTATTGTTAGTAATGTAATTTTTTACCAATATCTAATATATCATTGAAGAGAGGAGAGGAGTTGACCGGGAATTGGACAAAGTTATATTATAATTATTGTTGGGATTCAATCCCACACTGCCCAAGTTTCTAGTCCTGAATGAGGAACAAGTTAGTTAGCTTAGAACAGGATGAGGGTTTCATAGTAACATAGCATAAAATACAATTAGCATAAATCAAAACAGTTATAAATATACATTAAAACAGTTCACCGGTTCAAATTGTCATCCAAATCAGTCCATTGCAGTCCACTAAAAACATCATCTTTCCCAGCAAATCACTCTATTCTGCAAACACTTGAGCCCACAACCAAGATTTGAGCTTCTCCGAGGAGGTCAGGAGGGAGGAGGCAGATCTAATCTCATTAGGGAGGGCGTTCCACAGCCGAGGGTCCACCACAGAGAAGGCCCTGTCTCTCGTCCCCACCAAATGCAACTGTGATGGCGGTGGGACCGAGAGCAGGGCATCCCCAGATGATCTTAGGTCCTTGAAGGTTCGTAGAGGGAGATATGTTCGGACAGATAAACTGGGCTTTATAGGTCAAAGCCAGCACTTTGAATTGTGCTCGGAAGTTAATAGGCAGCCAGTGGAGTTGACATAACAGGGGGGTTATACGTTCCCTGTACTCTGCTCTGGTGAGCAACCTGGCTGCCGAGCATTGGACTAGTTGGAGCTTCCGAGCAGTCTTTAGAGGCAACCCTACGTAGAATGCATTGCAGTAATCTATGCGGGATGTAACCAGAGCGTGGATCACCGTGGCCAAGTCAGACTGCATTAATGAAACTGTGGGTGCACTCTAGGCCACCAGTCCCAAGAACCCAAGATAGCTCTCAGTCGCAGTGCTATAATTGTCTAGGATGAAAGACCCTTACGTTGAATTATCAGAACTTTAGCAAAAGGTGGAAGAAGAGTGCAGGGCAAATGGAAGAACAAGCTGTGCCCACGTTATGCAACGGGGAAAGAGTCTGCGATGCCATGAACCTAATTAAAACAAAAGCAGATTGCAAATGTTCTTTCCTTGTTCCTCTTGGCTTATCCAGGGCCTTAGAGGTTTAACTAGAAATGCTGCAAAGTGCTTTGCCAATCATATCTGGAAACACTTGACAGGGTTATTAAGCTACTTGGTCTTTTTCTTCCTTGATCCCAGGCACTTCCCGAAGTGGATCATGGCTTCATTGGCCAGCTGCTGGTGGACTGTGAGGAGCCTCTCAACCTATGCACAGAGAAGATGCAACCCCCTTCTCCCTATAACTGGAGTGGTGACTGGAGCTTTTGGGTAATTTCATTTCTCTTTTTTTTACATGAGTAGTTTTGCTGAGGGACTATGGTAGTTGGCGTCCAAAAAGTAACTTTTCCAAACTCTTGGGACATCTGTGTTCTTCAACAATTAAGGGTGCATCTGCAGTGTAGATACAATGCAGTTTGACACCATTTCCATGATTCAATATTATTACATCATGGGAGGAGTAGTTTGGTGAGGCACCAGCACTCCTTGGCAGAGAAATATAAAGACTTTATATAACTACAACTTCCATAATTCCAAAACCTTGAGCCATAGTAATTAAAGTGATGTCAAACTGCGTTAATTCTATACTGTAGGGGCACCTCAAGTTAGTTCGTTCCTGTAAATTGGGAGATTTGTTTTGTGTGTATAGTGGCAAAGGAGTAACCCCACTAATTCAATTCATATGAAGTTATTGTCATTACCGAAAATTCAGGAAACCATGCAATTATGAGCCAATATATTACAAAGCAAGTCCTTTGAAACTCCGGAATAAGCATATTGTGTTTTTATTTTGTATTGAAAATTATGCCCCTAGGATTTGAACAGAAAGTTTCTTAAAATAGCTGTGATTAAGAACCCAATCCTCAAATCTTGGGAGTAAATTACAGTTCCATATCAATGTAAAAACACTTGAACCTGTGGTTTTACTGCAGAACTGGAATTATTGTGATCTCTGGATTGCTAAGTTCCAAGTCTTCCTCTCCTACTACTGAATTCTTGTTGCTCAATGAGAGCCGAGACGATGTAGTGGTTATGCAGTTATGCTTCTCAGGATAGCAAATGGGTTGTATCAAAAAGGAGTCGGTGTAGTCTAGTAGTTAGAGTAGGTAAAAGTAAAATTTTTCCCCTGACATTAGGTCCAGTTGTGTCTGACTCTGGGGGTTGGTACTCATCTCCATTTCTAAGCCAAAGAGTCGGCGTTGTCTGTAGACACCTCCAAGGTCATGTGGCTGGCATGACTGCATGGAGCGCCAGTACCTTCACTCTGGAGCGGCACCTATTGATCTACTTACATTTGCATGTTTTTGAACTGCTAGATTGGCAGAAGTTAAGGGCTAACAGCGGGAGCTCACCCCACTCCCTGGACTCAAACCTGTGACCTTTCAGTTAGCAAGTTCAGTGGTTAGAGTAGAACAGTTAATATATTTCTCTACAACTTGGGAAATATGATTTGTAGTGTCCCACTAAACAATAGCCATGCAGCTTCAAAGCCTGGCTGCATCCTGCCTGGGGGGATCTTTTGCTAAGAGGTGCTAACAAGGCTATTCAGTGCTAATCAAGGTGGCCAATTGCAACATGCACACTTGCCTCCAATAGACAGGAGTTCTTTCTCCCACCCTGGACATTCCACAGCTATAGAAACCTCACTTGCCTAGTTTCCAACAGACCTCACAACCTCAGAGGATGCCTACCATAGATGTGGGTGAAACATCAGGAGAGAATGTTTCTGGAACATGACCATGCAGCCCAGAAAACTCACAGCAACCCAGTGATTCTGACCATGAAAGCCTTGAACAACACAATAGCCATTGTGGTTTCATGATTTGAGTCCTGGACTATGACTCTGGAGACTAGGATTTGAATCCCTGCTTGGCCATGGAAACCCATTGGGTGACATTGGTTAAGCCACATGCTCTCAGCCTCAGACGAAATCTCACGATTATTAGAAGCTTACATCCAGTGGGGAACGGAGCCAGACATTTCCTTTTCCATGAATCTCCATTTCATAAATATTTTGTCTTGTAAACCTTGAGGTTTCTTTGGGACTGCCGACAATTGCAACATTCACACTTGCCATTATATGTATTTTTTTGTCTTATTTAGCCTCATTTGTATAAAGTGCCTACAATAGGACTTAAAAATATTTTCTCACTCTAAAAATAATCACTTTGAAGATTGGTACTATTCTTTTCGATAGTGTTAATGTTAGGTTTCCAAATCCTGCGTATGATGTAAAGGGATCTAAAAGCAATTCTCGAAAGTACACTCCCTGCTCTGACTCTTGTGTTTCTTAATGGTCTGATCAAGATGCAAAGGGATTGGGTCCAAACTCAATCATACTAGGAGCATACTGTCATACTGTCTGAAATTAATGGGAATTTGAATTATTCACTCGCTAATTGAACTCTCACTAGTTTGAAGATATCTATTCTACACTTGAATGTGTTTTAGTTTAATCCAGTACTATGAATAATAAAGCCTAGACTAACTATGGTTTAGCAATTGTATGAGTATTTTGCAGTTATTTTGGGTAACAAAGTTGCCAGATCTCAACCCTGTTCCTGAATCTTCCATTTTCATGGATTCTGCCCACTTGGCTCAATATCTTGTTATTTATGTTATACTCTGTGTTCATTTTGTATTATCCTTTTGATTTGTTTTATTATATTTTACTTGATGTATTATCTTATTTTTTGTTGTATTCTTTTGCGCTGTTGTAATTTGTTGGGCTTGGCCTCATGTTAGCCACCCCAAGTCCCCCTTGGGGAGATGGAGGCAGGGTATAAATAAAGTATCATCATCATCATCATCATCATCATCATCATCATCATCATCATCATCATCCCCAAATGGGAAATGTTGTTTTGGTGGGTTGTTCAAATCTCCATCTTATGCCCAGTCTATATTTACCATTTAATGCAGTTCTAAGCTAGATTCAATCTGCAGTGGCTAGCCAACAAATTCCCACAAAGTGGTGCAAAAGAAAGCCCTTAATGCACATCTGTGCTCGGTGGTTTGTGTAATCACCATCTGGAGCTCAAAGTAGTTTGGGAGTTTCCTATGCAATCATCATCTGTGCAGCAAAACCACTTTCTTCAGTACCAATTTGAAACTTGCTTAAATGGTCAGCATGGATGACACCTTAGCTAACAAAATAGGAGCATACTACATTTCTAGAAGATTTAATTGATATGTTGCTGCAACTTGCAAAGACTTTCTTTGTGTATCTATAATATACTTACTTCATTGTGGTGCTGGGATTCACTCTTTACTCTGCTTTGTATCTACAGCAGAGTCCTGCTTATCCAACCTTTGCTTATCCAACATTCTGTATTATCCAACTCAGTCTGCCTCCCACCCGGATCCACAGCTGTTTCAACACATTGCAATGTTTTGATGCTAAATTTGTAAATACAGTAATTACTACATAACATTACTGTGTATTGAACTTATTTTTCTGTCGATTGGTTGTAAAACATTATGTTTTGGTGCTTAATTTGTAAAATCATAACGTAATTTGATGTTTAATAGGCCTTTCCTTAATCCCATCGTTCTGCCGGCCCGTTTATGTTGGACAAGCGAGACTCTACGGCAGTGTTTCTCAACCTTCCTAATGTCGCAACCCCTTAATACAGTTCCTCATGTTGTGGTGATCCCCATCCATAACATTATTTTCGTTCCTACTTCATTACTGTGATTTTGCTACTGTTATGAATCGTAATGTAAATATCTGATATGCAGGATGTATTTTCATTCACTGGACTACATTTGGTACAAATACATCATATGCCTAAATTTGAATACTGATGGGGTTGGGGGGATTGATTTTGTCATTTGGGAGTTGTAGTTGCTCGGATTTCTAGTTCACCTACAATCAAAGAGCATTCTGAACTCCACCAATGATGGAATTGAACCAAACTTGGAACCCAGAACTCCCATGACCAACAGAAAATATTGGAAGGGTTTGTTGGGCATTGATCTTGAGTTTTGGAGTTGTAGTTCATCTAGATCCAGAGAGCACTGTGGACTCAAACAATGACAGATCTGGACCAGACTTGTCACGAATACTCAATATGTCCATATGTGAACTCTGGTGGAATTTGGGGAAAATAGACCGTGACATTTGGGAGTTGTAGTTGCTGGGATTTATAGTTCACCTACAGTCAACAAGGATTCTGAACCCCACTAATGATACTGTGTTTTCTGATGGTCTTTGGTGACCATTCTGACACTCCCTTGCGACCCACTCAGGGGTCCCGACCCAGGTTGAGAAACGCTGCTCTACAGTAGCCTCTGGCTAGGAGCAAAGAGCAAACAACATTAAATGCTATTTATCCCATCTGCCACAATAAATATGAGGAAATAATTCCCTTGTTTCACCTTGATCTGGGAACAGCTAGTATTTCTGTCTTAACCAGCAAATATAACTCAGGGCAATCCAGTTAGGACCACAGCAAGGAACAAAAGTCCAATTCCTCTTCACCAGGGTCCTACTTCAGATCAGTCCCCTATGCCTGTTATTTAAACTTGGGGAGAAATTTGTACTTCTAACTGCAAGAATAATATGCTATTTACAGGTAGTTTGTTGTAAGAACGGTAGCATTCAATTACCAGTAGTTTGTGCTTGCCAGCTGGCTGTTTCCTTTCAATATGAGAAACAAGTCTTTCTGTAAGGAGTAAAATGCTGGCATCTGATAACTATTGCAATACTACCACACAGCTGCTGCAGGCACAAAAGCCTTCTCTGAGCCATTCTTGGTTACATTTCTGAATTATTAATTCTGCTCCGGGCATGAGAAATCTGAGTAAGACATTAAATGACTTGTGTGAGTCGATGTAATGAATCAACTGTAAGTCTGAGCTCTTTAGTCCCATGCTTGTTCCTCACTGTCAGGCAACTGTCTCTCGGCTAGAATGAGATGATGAATTGTAGTGAATCCATCAAATGTCATGCTGTGCATCTATCTCTAAACCTATTACTCTACCAAAGCGGGCAATTCATTTGTGCCTTTGTAGATTGTCAGTGCAGTTTCAGTTTTAAAAATAATTCTAAATTAGAAGGCAGTCCTCATATTCGGTTGCTGTGAATTTTCCAGGCTGTGTGGCCATGTTCCAGAAGCATTCTCTCCTGACATTTTGCCCACATCTATGGCAGGCATCCTCAGAGGTTGTGAGGTCTGTTGGAAACTAGGCCAGTGATGTTCTTTTTTTAAAATAATATTTTTAAATTAAGTTTCTATTTATTTCGTTACAAAAAAGCCCATCTCTAC